TAAGCAAAAATGCTTGAAATCGTAGCTTTCAGCGCACCAGGCAGGCAGCCAGGATAGTGCTTTGGGGGGGGGGGGAGGGGGGGAGGGGGGGGGGGAGGGGGGGGGCGGGGGCGACGTGTAGCACAACAGGCGGCTGCCACATCTACCATCACTGCTATGACGCCGCCAGGATCGCGGCCGGCGACAGAGTGATACTTTTATGACGTCATCAGGCGGAAATCGATGCACCATCTTCTTTGATGCGAAACTTGGATGCGCGATAGACACCATATTTTCGCTGATTATAATCTGTTTACAGGGCAAGGCTTGTAAGAATAAATACATATATAGTCAATAAAATGCGTGGAACGCTGAGAAGCTAGTCATTTCTGTTTGTGTCATCTTCTTTTGCTCATGCTCGTCAAAGCAAGACAACATAGGTTACGATTGATTTTTTTTTTCTAAACTCGTGAGATAAAAATAATTAGAACAACACTGCGAAATAAAACCTAAATCAAATGTTTTATTTCCAATTACTTTTCTCCAGGTCTTATCATTATATTTAACAATAAAATGATAAAGAAGAAAAAAATATCGGTCCTGGCGAATTTGCATTGCTAAAATACCGCAAGACCGAGATTGCAGGCAGTTTTATCGACCAATTTATTAAGTATTTAATCCTGCGGTAACTATTTCAGTATTACAACCTATATCTCAGGGTATCGGACAGATATACTAATTCAGTTTGCTTTTTGTTGCAGCTCACAGGCCACATAGGGTGCCGAGGATGACACCGTTTGCAACAGTCGCCAATGCCGAACTGTTTATGATTTCAGGGTGAGGTCTAGCGTAAGATATTATACAGAACACGCGAATAAGTGACAGGGTACCAAGGTACACCCGTGAGCAATATGAAGGTAAACAGCCCTCTTTTTGTTTTTGACGCTCCTGCAAGTTTTGGAACAAGCTTTGTTCCAGAAGAAGGTTAGAAGGCAAAGTTTAGACCCCAAGCCGCGTACATTTGAGACGTTGAGAGTTAATATAGATTCAGGGAGCCGTAAAACAGGCAAGAAACCAGATAAGGTGTTCACCTTCTTATTACCGGCGGGTGTACGCCCCGTAAAGGTCGTTTAACGTAACAGTACGTTTTTTTAGCTTGAGTTACAGCATAAGGAGCGCTTGATGTGGCGAATTAAGAGTGTCTTATTATCGTCCCGCAACCAATCAAATTGTAGCATTATCCGATAACAACACAAATGACCGAATCGCGAAGCAAGGACCACTAACACAGTAAGCCAGACATTTCGTTTTTTTAGCTGTAAGCAAAAACAATTTATCGTTGCCTTTTTTTGTTTTTGTTTGCTGCGATAATTATTATGTTCTTTTTTATTCCACTCGAAATGATGCTGTATACACTCTCATTAAAGCTGGTGCGTCTACTTTCTCGCACCCCCAACAGCTCGGAGAACCAATTCCCGCAACTTACGGAGGCAACTCAGCGAATGACAATGTCATTCGCGAAGTTGCCGTCATGATGTCACGTACACGCGACGTCCCGACGCCACGTGAAGTCAGAATGTCAGGTGTTTGTCCTGGAGTCAGGTGAGGCCAGAGTACCACGCGAAATGATGACGTAACGGAACGTCACGCTGTTTTAGGGTTGCAGACGACTGTCTCACTCTTCCAGCGTTATATACGTTGGCGACGGTATACTTTCACGTAAGGGGCATAAGGACACTGTTGCGGTCACACTGCTTACACACCATACAAAAGACAGCCTGCATGCACTGTCATGAGTCGTGTCTCTTCCCTGTATGACGATCCTGTCTCGTTGGTCGTCGTATAAAAACGGTCTGCGGCCATGTTTTAGGCGTACATGCTTCCAACATGAATGAGGTTACGTCCGTAGATAAAGTAGAAACCGCATCTAAGCGATGCGGGCGTGCGACGAGACAAGCGCCGGCGACCCGCTTCGCTGTCGCTCGGCCAGTCGCGTGACGAAGCAAACCGCATGGTAGCGTTTTCTTTTCCGTCTTTTTTTAGGATTAAAAGCGCTAAGATTCTTCGGAGGTTGAAAGCTTAAACACCGTGTCTTTTGCATGATCTAGGAGCCGCGTGACTCCGAATTTATATAGGGTCCGAT